CCCCATTGAATCCCTTTGGTGTAGTTTTGGGGGAGCTGGGAGTTTGGGGTATGTTTTATTGCCTTGTTGCCTCCTTTTATTGTGCTGAGGGTTCAGGATTAATTAGAATAGACAACTTTGTTGCCAGTTTGGAGATCTCTTTAGTTGATATCTAAATTCCAGTGATAGTCTTGGCTTTGATTACATTTTGGTATTTATCTATCTCTGAACCTACTCATTTTAATAGTATCAGACCCAATCCCTACCGATTATATCAGTGTCAGATATATCCAACCATATATAATCATGAGTAAGAAGCTGTTTTAACAATTTTAACCTTTTACTACTGCCCCAGCTAGACTGTAGTATACTGCTACTAACAGGTAGGCTGGGATGTGGATGGAGAGGGGAAAGGAAAAGGAAAAGGAAGTTTGAAAGTAATTAAAGGAGAGAAGAGAAATGTCAATAGATGAGAAGTAGCTGGGCGATCAGACTGTGCTGGGATTCTTTTTATAGCTGAAGTGAAGGGCTGGTGTTGAGGTTTGAAAGAGTACTTGTGGAAGGAGATAAAGGGACACAGAGGAAGGTGTACCTGGAGATTGAGGGCGCTGTGAGAATGTCAGGTTGTGAAGTTAGCTTATGTTTGGAGCCTTTGTGCAGTTTTGGTGAGAGCTACTCTGACTTGCCCATGGAAGGTAATATGTAACTTAAAGCACATTAATTCTTACTCTCCATTGCACATATACAGGCACCGCATATTGTGTGTGTGTGTGTGTGTGTGTGTGTGTGTGTGTGCACGTGCGTGCGTGTGCATAATGAATGGAGGGAGGAAAGAGGAAAATTAAAGGGATTTAGCTCGGTGGATCCACCACCTGCCTTGCAAGCACAAGGTCCCGATTTCAATCCCTGGTACCAAAAAAAGAGAGGAGGAAAGTAGATAAAGAGGAGTGAGAAAAAACTGAACACAAACACAAAGGAAACTCATGGGTTGCAAAAATACAAAACCAAAGCATCCTCGAAGTCACGTCTGTAGTGCGGCCTGAGTTCATTCCCAGGCCTCGGACACGAACACATTTGCTACCCGCCCCGGTGCCTTTGTCAGTCTCCCATCTACGAGCAGAAAGGCAGGCCCACTGGGCCCCCCTCCTGGGAGCAGCTTACTGTAAGCCTGTGCCTTTGGCCCCAGGTCCTGTTCATGCAGGAAAGGGAGGATGGGCTGGGGAGTTAGCTCAGTGGTTCCACTGCCTGCCTGGCAAGCGCAAGGTCCTGAATTCAATCCCTGGTGCCAAAAAACAAAAGAGAAGAAAAAGAAAGGAAAGGAAGGGCACAGTGCAATTGGCCAAGTTCCACTCCTTCCCTGACTTCTGCTAAGGCCTCGTTGGTCCCCACTTCTTTCCCTGCCTGGCAAATCCTGCGGTTGCCTCTGTAACTTTTCTTGCTGCCCCACTGTCTGCTCAGACCGACATTCTGTCTCTGCCACGGTCCTCCTTCACTCACTCTCCCCCACAGCATCACTCTCCACCCGGCAAACTCAGTGGCCCCTGGTGTCCCATAGCAGATGTTTAGGGTTCTGCATGCAGGCGGTGGGTTGAGGGGCACAGCACTTCCAGTGTTTGGGGGCTGTATGGTCTCTTCTTTCCCCTGCTGCTCATAGACCTTGCTGGCTCGCACAGCCATGGGCCACAGATCTCTCAGCACTCAGATCAAGGTCCTCATCAGGATGGTATGTTAGTTTGCCACTTCCCAAGGCCTGCAGGGTTTCCCCATTCAGTGCTCACTGAAGTCACTCTGATGTGCTGGTTGGTGAACTTTTCATCTGCTGTGTTCCTGCAAAAGACACATCATAATTAACAAGTAACCTGCTTGTTTTCTCAGCTAAGTTTGTGCTGGGAGAATGGCTGCACAAGAGTCATAGTCTTGTTATTTTGCTTTCAGAGGCACCACAGTATCACTGCTCATTGAGATCTCGATTGACTGTTGGCGTAGGGAGTTCTGTTTCCATTGCCAGCCGAAGGCTCATCTAGCAAGTCACATAGGCCTAGGACAGACTCACGGTTTAGTCAACAGCCAATTGATAAGCCAATTCAATAATATTTTATAGCTTGTCCAGCACGGACAAGCTGGGTTTCTGCACAATCTAATTCCCATCAATACCGGAATGAATACAAACTTGATATGAAAACCTTGCTGTGTCATTCAATGTGGGCAGTCATGCAGTGATTTTAGTGAGTGAAATAAAACAGTTACTGTGGCATCTTATTAAAATGTGGAGGGTCAAAAATTGATTTCAAATACATGAGTGGCTAGGTGATGGGTTGGGATGGTATTGATGGAAAGCAACAGAATTTTAGTTAACTTACCATAGGAAGTCCAGGAAATGCACTGTATAGCATGGTGATTATAGTTTATATATTATGTTCTTTTAAAATGCTACACAAAATTGCTTCTCGGCCTTTTGGCTAAGATCAAGTGTAAAATGCTACACAATGTAAGGACTGTTGCAACATAAGATGATAATTATATAAAATAATGCTTATATAAATTAGTTGGGCTAATTAACTAGGTATATATATATATATATATATGATATGTACTTTGAATCATCATGTTTATTCAGTGTATAACTTATATAAATAAGAAAAGTTGAAAAATTCAGAACAGTAATTTGTCCCAATCTGTATGGTTGAATGATAATCCATTGAACTAGAAATTTATGAAGCCTCTCAAACCTATTTTGTTATGTGTCTTCTCTACATTTGTGTGTCATTTTCCCATTGAAAAGGTTTGCCTGTATCTCATCTTAGACTTTAGAGTCTCTCCTACCTCACTGGACTGTATAGGATAGTATGATCATCACTTAATGTAATAATCACTTTCCTTTGGTCTTAGCTGTTGTGAAGTCTCATCCAAACTATATTGAACATCAAAAAATCGACACTGTCAAGACACCCCACAAGTGTAAAGAATGTGGCAAAGCCTTCAGTAGGAGCTCATCCCTTACAAAACATATGATAGTGCACGTCAGTGAGAAACCCTACAAATGTGAGGAATGTGGCAAAACCTTTAACCGAGGTTGCAGACTTACTAAACACCAAAGACTCCACACCGGCGAGACACCCTACAAATGTGATGTATGTGGCAAGGCCTTTGTTGGAAGCTCCAGACTTACTGAACACCAGAGGGTTCATACTGGAGAAAAGCCCTACAAGTGTAAAGAATGTGGCAGAGCCTTTCGTCTCTGCTCAAATTTTATTGAACACCAGAGAATACACACAGGAGAGAAACCATATAAGTGTGAAGAATGTGGCAAGGCCTTTAGAGTGTCCTCACACCTCACTCGACACCAGAGAATTCACACTGGAGAAAAGCCCTACAAGTGTAAAGAGTGTGGCAAAGCCTTTGTTGAAAGCTCAAGCCTTACTCAACACCAGAGAATTTATACTGGTGAGAAGCCCTATAAATGTGCAGAATGTGGCAACGCCTTTGGTCGGAGATCCATATTTATTAAACACCAGAGAGTTCATACTGGTGAGAAACCCTACAGATGTGAAGAATGTGGCAAAGCTTTTGATCAGAGATCCAGACTTACTCAACACCAGAGAGTTCATACTGGTGAGAAACCCTACAAGTGTGCAGAATGTGGCAAAGCCTTTGTTGGAAGCTCAAGCCTTACTGATCATCAGAGAGTTCACACTGGCGAGAAACCCTACAAATGTGCAGAATGTGGCAAAGCCTTTGATCGGAGGTCTAGGCTTATTCAACATGAGAGACTCCATACTGGCGAGAGACCGTACAAGTGTGAGAAATGCGACAAAGCCTTTGTTGGAAGCTCAAGCCTTACGCAGCACCAAAGAACTCATACTGGGGGGAAACCCTACAGATGTGAAGAGTGTGGGAAAACCTTTGATCGAACCTCCAGACTTCTTCAACATCAGAGAGTTCACACTGGGGAGAAACCCTACAGATGTGCAGAATGTGGCAAAACTTTTGACCAAAACTCAAGCCTTACTCAACACCACAGAGTTCACACTGGCAGAAAACCCTACACATGTGCAGAATGTGGCAAAGCCTTTGATCGAAGATCTAGGCTTATTCAACACCAGAGAGTTCATACTGGTGAGAAACCCTACAAATGCACAGAATGTGGCAAAGCTTTTAATCAAAGGTCAAGCCTTGCTCAACACCAGAGAGTTCATACCAGGAAGGGATCCTACAAATGGGAAGAATGTGGGAAAGTCTCTGATCAAAGCTCCAGGCTTCTTCAGCCACAGTTTTCATACTGGTGAGAAGCTACAAATATAGAAAGTGGCAAAGCCTTTGTTGGAAACTTCTGTTCAGAGTAGAAGGACACCTTGAACTTGAGGTCTCCTCTAAGAAGTTGTCCAGCCACTGACCTCTCATTCTACTTGTTGGATTTTAAATTTCTTTTCTTTTCTTTTCTTTTTTTTGTTGTTGTTTTTTGTTTTTTTGGTTGGTTTTTGGTTTTTTTGAGACAGGGTCTATGTAGTTCAGACTGCTCTGGAACTCACTATGTAGCCCAGGCTGGTCCCAAACTCGCAGTGATCCTCCTGCCTCAGCCTCCCAAGTGCAGGGATTACAGGTGTGCGCCACCATACCTGGCTGGATTTTAAATTTCAATGTTTAGTTTTCTGTATGCATATCTGGGCTGAGATCTAAGCTGAAGTCTCTGGCAATACTACGAGTAAAATTAGTCTTTGCTGCCTTTAACACTGTCCAAGTCTGTTTCTCTTTAACATCTGTGATTTTCTTGATAGCTTTAAATTCAGGAGTAAGTACTCCATGAATAAGTGCACCTTGCCATAGGAGAAATATCAGGCAAGCAGAAACGTATGTGATGCGTTGGCAGTCATCCTTCAGAAGATACTATTCCAAGCAGTGCTGTCCTGCCCCAGTAGGCAGTATTCCCCAAATTGCTGTGGTTTATAGAGTATAGCAAGATAACTGAGTGCAGGACAAACAGGCTACCCTCCCAAAGTCAGAATTGGGAAGAAATATGTTGCTTCCTCAGCCACCTCTGCATCCAGTTGTGACATTTACTCTCTCTGACTAGTGAATTCTGGGGTAAAATGAATGCAAGGATTCCTCGAGTATGTAGTAGGTATTGTTGTAGTCATCAGTGACAGTGTATGGGTTCTGATGATCCATTAGGGCTAATGGATTTTCTCCCTTCCATATTCTGTCAAGACAGAATTGTGTCTCTAAGAATTGGTTTCACTCTTCTGTAAATGTATAGATCTTACAATGACTCCTAGAAAATTTTCACAGAGGTGCAGCAGGTCACTGAACAAAATCTAGAGAAATCTAGGGTTCACCCCTTGATTTCTGGACCCATGAATCCTGGCTATAAAAGAAATAACACCAGCCAGGCGTGATGGCACACACCTGTAATCCCAGCCCTCAGGAGGCTGAGGCAGGAGAATCGCTGTGAGTTTGAGACCAGCCTGGGCTGCATAGTGAGTTCCAGATCAGTCTCAACTACATAGTGAGAGCCTGTCTCAAAAAAAGAAAAAACACCACCATATACTGGATGCTGATTTAAGCCATCTTTTCCCTACTGTTACTGCCTTATAGCTGGTACTATAATTGCATCATGTAACAGCTGTTCCACCACTCCTCAATCCAGCTGCTATTGGAGGCTGGGGAACATGGTGAAACCAGTTCTATGAACTTGAGCACATTGCCACACTTTTTGGCCATGAAGCATATTTCCTGTTCAGAAGTAATGTACCATCATGATGGATGGCTCATTCTGTAAATTTATCAATAGTAATTTTGGCATAGCATTATGTACAGGTAAAGCAAATCCGTACATGGGTTTTCTGTTTAAATAAGGACACAGTCCTAACCTTTCTTTGCTGGAAGTGGTCCATTATAATTAAATGGTCACCAGGTCTTTACCTTAGAAGGAATAAGTGTGTGCCCCAGACCACTGGACTCCTAGAAATTCTCTAGTACTTCCCAATGTAGATGATTAGTCTTGGCCTGGAAAATCCATTCTATCCTGCCCAATTCTCTGAAGCTTTGGATAGTCTGATCAACAGTAAACCAAGGAATATAAATCCTGTAGATAAAGGGCAGAAGGGGGCTGGGGATTTAGCTCAGTGGTTCCACCGCCTGCCTTGCAAGCACAAGGACCTGAGTTGGATCTCTGGTATCAAAAAAAAAAAAAGGACAGAAGGTCCTCTTTCAGGACACATTAGAAGCCTTTATGTTATTTAAGCATCTCTAGAGCTGGGAATTTGAAACTTGGAACTCATTTTTGTTTTTACTTAGTTAACACATACAGCAGGCTTTATTTCTGTCTGGAGATGGGAATGTAAATCTTTGAGCTCATTTTCTTGTAATTTGTTAAGAACAGCGAGCCAGCATCACTATATTTCTTGCACTTCTGAAAATGTTCTCAATTATTGTCCATAAAAATCACTAAATTCCTTGCATCTCACAAGAATTAGTACTGTCAAATATGTAGGTATTTAAACAGTTCACACCACAAACCATCAGCACACTGTACATTATGGCAACTAACTCTTAAGTCTCATAAAATCAGGGTCAATCCCAGAAACCATTATACTAGTTAGAGAAATTTTACCTTACAATCCAGCTGTTCTAGAACCACTGCTGGTATCTATTTCCTAGGGTTCTCTAGAGGAACAGAATCAGTAGAAAGCATATGTATAACTAGCAAGGGGATTGAACAGGCCACAGGATCAGGAGTGGGCCATCTGAATACTGGCAGAGGGGCAGAAGATCCAGTATCTACTGAGTCCAAGAAGATGGAAGCTGTAGAGCAAAAGGCATCACGGATGCAACACCAATCCAGAGTTGAAGGTCAGGAAGCTCAATGTAGAGTCATGGGATCAAGTCTGTATTGGAAAGCTCAAGAAATTGGAGACTGATGTGCAAAGGCAATGGCAGCAAAAGGATTTTCCTTGCAGGAAAAGTGGAGCTCATCAAAATAGAGAAACTCCCTTCTCTCCCTTTTTATTCTGTCAAGGCCGCAAGCCTATTGGTTGGTGCCACCAACATGCAGAGGTTCATCTCTTAATTTGCTGCCCTCCATGTCAGCCATTCACAGACAAACCCAGAACATTGCTTTACTGATGTCCAAGCATCTAGAAGGAATAAGCACTGCTTACAGTAGCCAAGACATGGGGTCAACATAAATATTCACAATGGACAAATGGACAAAGAAAATGGGACTCATATAGAATGAGCCGTAAAAATGGAATCTTATGCAGGAATACAGGTGAAGTTACAGAACTTAATGTTAAGTGAAATAAGTTAGGCTAGGAAAGAAAAACACCATTGGTACTCATCTGTGAAATGTAAAATAAACAGTGATCTAGTGGCAGAGAAGAGAATGGAAAGTAGATAGAGGGCAATAGTTATATTCAGATTGGAAAAATAAGCTCTGCTGTTCTAATATATACTAGGGTAACCATATACAATAATGTGTCATATAATAAAATTAAATTCTGGCTGTTTTTACCACAAGACATAATGTTTCAGGTTATAGTTGTGCTGCTTGCTGTGATTTGACCATAAAATGTAGAAACGCATGGAAACATCATACTGTACCCCATAAATACAATTATTGTGTTGAAGAAAACTCAACAATCCAATTTAACTTTGCAATAGAAAAATTCTGCACTACTCACATCAGTGAATAATTTTCCTGTGAGAACATGGAGGGGACAAGTGAACCTTAACAGGCACTGGAGGAAGATACCCATGGCACATATGTAACTAAACAGTAAATTGAGTCACGGACATACTGGAGATAATTAGCACACTGAGAGTGCCCTGTATGCGGGTGGCCTTGGGATCGGTGTCTCTCCCCACAGTAGAATTAATAGAATGTTGTCTGCACCTTGTGACTCTCATTCTCTTCCATGGAGCACAGCTCATAACAGGGATACCTATATCCTCTTTACGGAGAGTACCTTTGTTATACTTAGAACTGTTCCGTGTGTTCTTTTATTTCACCCAAATATCAAAACCCCATTATTTATGAAGCCTTATCTATTGGCACCTAAACAAACTGCCTCAATGAATACATTAAATTGCATAAAATCACTAATCAAAATTAAAGCAACAGAAAATTGAATTATACTTAAAACTGTTCTCCTTACAAAAATAATATATTGGAAAATATACCAATTAAAGACAATGTGTCTTAACATAGTTTCCATGAAATTACTCAGATTAATTTTGGACCACAGTAATAAAAAATATCACTAAACTGCCTAGACAAGTGAAAGTGCTTCCTAAACACTGATAAAATAGGATTTATTAGGTCTTGCATGCATAACAGGCAAAGAGAAAAAGGTCAGATTAAGCATGAAGCGGTTATAAATCATGAATGATGGTGTCTTGGCCAAATAAACTCAGTGTGGGCAGAATAGAATTTTTTAAATGATATGTAGTAGGCCGGGGATGTAGCTCAGTGGCATCTCAACTGTGTATCAAGCACAAGAACCTGAGTTCGATCCCCGGTATTAGAAAAATGAGTGAATGAATGAATGACACCTGGAATCCCAGCACTTGAGCGCTGAGGCAGGAGGATCACTGCAAATTCGAGGTCAGCCTGCACTACAAAGTGAGACCCTCAAAAAAACAAAGAAAAAAAAAGATATGTAAAGCTCTTTAAATTTGGTAGTAAAGCATATTAAGTATTTTTAAATCAACTTTAGTTTTAATCATTGTTTTCTCTGGAGATATTTCCACACATAAATTCACCCACATATATGATAATTATACAATTCTATGCAAAATGGTTTTATTAGGTAACAATGTTTATATATCAGTTAATATAAATTACTACAAAGATCTGTAAGTGCTTTGTAGCCCCAAAAGGGTGATGTAAAAAATATGGTTAAAAAATGTATATAATTAAGGATTAAAAACAAGGGCTTTTTTTTTTGTATAGCCACCATAATACCCCAATAAAAACAAGAAATGAATTAATTATGGCTCATGGAAATAATTGTCTCCAAATTATCTTGTCTCATAAAAAGATTACTGTGAAGATTTAGTGAAAAGATCACTAAAATCTCATTTCCCCAATATGTTACTACCATCTATTAGCAGCAAACTTATGTAAGTGGAAGTTTTATATGTGTGGTAGAATAACATGTTATTCAAAAGTCAACACTGTAACCCAGGAAGAACCAAGGACTTTTATTAACTAAAAAACTTTAAGCTGGGTGTAGTGGCCCACGCCTATAATCCCAGCACTTGGACGGCTGAGGCAGGAGGATTGCTGTGAGTTTGAGACCAGCCTAGGCTACACACTTCCAGGGCAGTCTGAACTACATAGTGAGACCCTGTCTCAAAAAAAAAATTTTTTTAATATTACAAAAAAAAATCTCCAGGCAGTGATTCAAAAATCACTGTATGTTCTCTGGAGGAAACATAAAATTTAGAAACTAAGGAAGCAATCTTGTTCTACTACA